GCGTTTATTATAATACCTCTAAGCTGATGCCTCCCAAGTCTTTATTTTCAGCTCTGACTCAGCCTGAGTTTCATATTGAAATATCTCTGATTGCTTTCTGGCTGTGCTCCTCACTTCAAATAATTTACCAATATTCATCTAGAAAACTGGTATCATAATCGTGGCGCCTTTCTTCTCGACAATTCTCTAGCAAGATCTATCCATTTTCCCTTCTATATTTCTTTGAATCTAACCCCTAGCGTACATCAGCTATTTTGGCCCTGAAAATCTCTGAAAAGACAACCTAAATGATTCTGTGCACATGTACGGAATCATTCCGAAATGATTCCGTACATGTGCATCCCTCGCCCCCAAATCTGCACTGCCATTAGTTATCTAAAATGCATACCTGTGTTCATCTTTTCTGTAAAATCCTCTGAACAATCTCCAGTAGATGAAGTCCTACCCTTTTAGTAAGACAAACCAAACCTTTAACTCGAGCAATCTATTTATTATACTTGTAGCACAGAATCAAACAAATACCAGTTGTTAGAAATAAGCCACACTGGTGCTTTATTTACCAATTCCCTCTGTCTAACCATATCCTGCATTCACCTTTAACTAGATAGCTAACGCTACCTACTTATGTTTCCCAACTTAGCTGCTCTTGAGACCTTTCCTACAACTCCCCTTCTCTATGCCCTCATAGAATCTTGTGCACAATGCTATCATAAAATTTATCACATTATCTCTACCTTCCCATACCCCATCAAGACCATAAAGTTTTTCATAGCAAAGGGTCATGTGTGTTTTTAATCGGTCCTTCCATTTAAGTCTATTATATACATGCCAGGCACTCAATGGTTTTTTCTTTCTTTCTTTCTTTTTTTTGGTAGAGACAGAGTCTCACTTTATCATCCTTGGTGTCACACAGTTCACAGAAACCTCCAACTCCTGAGCTTAGGTGATTCTCCTGCCTCAGCCTCCCAAGTAGCTGGGACTACAGGTGCCTGCCATAACACCCAGCTATTTTTTTGTTGCATTTTGGCCGGGGCTGGGCTTGAACCCACCACCCTTGGTACATAGGGCCAGTGCTCCACTCACTGAGCCACAGGTGCTGCCCTCAGTGAGTTTTCTTTGATAAATGTTTAAACTGCAGTGACAATAAGTGGTGAATTAGGATACAAATTTAACTGTAAAGCACACCTTCTTTCCACTATACCATTCTGACTCCTGCTTTTTCCTCTTTGCTAATAAAACCCAAATTGAAACAAACTAAATATATACTATGAAAAATATCTTCCAGTAGCATCTGTGGCTCAGTGGGTGGGGTGCTGGCCCTATGTGCCAGCCCCATTTACTGAGGGTGGTGGGTTCAAACCCAGCCTGGGCCAAACTGAAACACAAAAAATAGCCGGGCATTGTGGCAGGTGCCTGTAGTCCCAGTTACTCAGGAGGCTTAGGCAAGGGAATTGCCTAAGCCCAGGAGCTGAGGTTGCTGTAAGCTGTGTGATGCCATGGCACTCTACCAAGGGCAATAAAGTGAGACTGTCTCTACAAAAAAAAAAAAAAAAAAAGAAGAAGAAGGAAAAAGAAAAAGAAAAATATCTTCAAGATTCTGCCTTTGTACTGTAAAATTAAACAGATTTTACATTTTATGCTCTGTGAATTAGAGATTCTTCAAACAATGTATATTCTGTATTACATCACTGAAAAATTTTATAAAAGCAATTAACTCACAAAAACTTCAAATGTCTACAGAAAATAAGAAAATCATATAGTCAATTAAATTATGGAGAAAAGAAATGATTTAGTACCATCAAAAGTATTATCAGAAAAATAAGAAAACTATAGGCTTGACATGGTGGCTCATGCCTGTAAATCTTAGCACCCTTGTAGGCGAAGGCAGGAGGATCGCTTGATTTCAGAAGTTTAAGACCAGCCTGAGTAAGAATGAGACCCTGTCTCTACTAAAAAGAGAACAATTTGCTGTGTGTGGTGGCAGGCGCCTATAGTTTCTGCTAGTTGGGAGGCAGAGGCAGAAGGATCACTTGAACCCAGGACTTTGAGGTTGCTGTGAGCTAGGCTGATACCATGGCACACTAGCCTCGGCAACAGAGTGAGACTGTGTATCAGAAAAAAAAAAAAAAAAAGGCTTGGCGCCTATAGCTCAGCAGCTAGGGTGCCAGCCATATACACCTGGAGCTGGTAGGTTCCAATCCAGCCTAGGCTAACTACAATCAAAAAATAGCCAGGCTTTGTGGCAGGCGCTGTAGTCCCAGTTACTTGAGAGGCTGAGGCAAGAGAATTGCTTAAGCCCAAGAGTTTGAGGTTGCTGTGAGCTGTGACACCAAAGCACTCTACTGAGGGTGTTATCGTAAGACTCTGTCTCAAAAAAAAAAAAAAAAAAACCAAAAGAAAGAAAGAGGGTGGTGCCTGTGGCTCAGTGGGTAGGGTGTTGACTGCATATACCGAGGGTGGTGGGTTCAAACCTAGCCCTGAACAAACTGCAACAAAAAATAGCCAAGCATTGTGGAGGGTTCCTATAGCCCCAGCTACTTGGGAGGCTGAGGCAAGAGAATCACCTAAGCCCAGGGGTTAGAGCTTGCTGTGAGCTGTGATGCCTAAGCACTCTAAGGAGGGTGACAAAGTGAGACTCTGTCTCAAAAGAATAAAAAATAAAGAAAGAAAAAAAATGAAAAATAAGAAAACTAAGCTTCCAACAAACTAAAAGAGCTGATGTTAAAAATATTACCCACAAAATTATATTTAGATGTCATACAGATTGTTACTTATAAAACAGAATAGAATCAAATACACAACCATTAAGCAAAATAAGTGTTAATCACCTTCAGAAAGACATTTAGTAAATATCCCAAATAATGTGATATAGAACATCAGTGACTATAGAAACGAATGCAAAGATAATGAAAACCAATAAGTTAATGAACTGCAAAAGATAAAGAAATATAACTAAAACATAATCTTAAAAAAATATCCCCAATGGCCAAAAGGATTAGAGTCTGGATAAAAGAATTAAATATACAACAAATAAAAATGTAAAATTCTTGTTTACAGCAGCACAATTCACAATTGCAAGGATGTAGAAGCAGCCCAAATACCTATCAAAACATGAGTAGATTAATAAAATGTGGTGTTTCTATACCATGGAGTACTACTCAGCCATAAAAAATTTGGTGATCTAGTATTTTTTCTAACAACCTGGATGAGCCTGAAGATGCAAAAACAAATACTACGTGTAAGTTGGAACCAGTCCATCAACACATAGATGCATCAAGGGAGGTGAAATAAAATTCAACAGGAATCAAGCAGGTGGGAAGGGAGGGAAGGGGGTTGGGTTAAATCACACTTAAATTGTACAATACACATATTAGGTGAGTGTGGGGAAGTTGGATTAATTCACACCTCAACTGTACAATGCACACATTCTGGGTGAGGGGCACACTTATAACTTTGACCTCATACGTATAAAACAAACTATGTAACCAAGATAATTTATCATATTTTCGATATTGAAAAAGAATGCAATTCTAAAACAAATGGATTATAAAATTACACTGTTGGATGTCATTGTCATCAAATATCTAAGTACTAAATCAAGGTACCAGAAATCAAGCAATCGTTAAAAATTCTACTTTTGCATCTATACAGGGTGATATCTCTACCTTCCCCCCATACTTTCACCGCAAATTAAAAAAAAAAAAAGATACATACGAAAAACGTGGCTTTTTATGATTTGAAATCCAATAGTTCCTTTTTGGTAGTTCTTCAATACTGTTTTAGTTCACTGCTATCACGGACCATTTCCTTTTGTAATGTTGTGTATGCTTTTAAAGAATCACCATTGCTTACGTTTTTATTACTATCAGATTTTTTAACTTGTATTTCCTGGTCTAAAAGTTGTACAGAATTAAAGCTGTAGTCTTGTAGTAATAGCTAACACTTAAATAATACTTTACTCTTTTCCTGCACTAAATATTTTACATACATTCACTCTTTTAATCCTTAAAATATGTCTAGGTACTATTATTCACAGACTGTAAACTGAGGCAGTTGGTTTCACAAATACTAACTGGTAAAGCTAGAATTAACTCCAGATAGTCTGGTTTTCTTCAAACGAGCATCCTCTTCCATGAGTTTTCCATCTTAGCTCTTCAGTTTTCTTCTGCAGACTTATTTTTTTCTCACCACTTACATATAATACATCCACTAATCGGAGAGTACAAGTTCAAATATTCTGCCTTAGCTACCATGTTCCTGTTTCATCTCATCTTGATTTTTAAAAAGCTTTCTAATTATCTACTCTCTAAATTTACAAGAATGTACTTCTATAATAAAACCTAAAATCTCCCCAGGTCAAACACAGTTCCTATACACCAGCATTGGGATGGCACTTCATTACACCTGCTTCAAAACGTTGTTCAATAGAATTCATTTCACACAGAGAACTTCTCTTACTCTTCTCTTCATGTAAAGTTACTGTTTGAAATTTCAAATATTCATTTCCCTCCTTCTAGAATCATTTTTCTTCAATTACATACCTTCACTTTCTTACTAGCTCTATTAAAACATGACTGTTTTCTCTTAAGGTCCAGGGTCACCAAGGCTAGACTTGCTAATCCGTGCTGATTGCTGCGTGTTTTTCTGCGTGTGCGTCAGAATCTTCCAGAAGGTTTTGGTCACAGAGGCGTGTCAGCCATGTTGATTTTCTTCTCCTGTGGAGATCTACTCCGTCCGCCTATTTTACTTGAGAAACTGGAGTCTCGCGGAGCCAGGGGAGGGGCTGACTGCCTCAGCCTCTAAAAAGCTTTTAGGTTTCCAAGAAGAACGTGCTCTAAAAGCTCTAAGTGCTGAAGTGCCCTGCGCGTCCCGCAGGAGTGGCGCGCCCTGCTGATCCTCTCAAACGCAGAGCGTCCAGAAACGAAGGCCGATTCGACCAGCTGCTAGGGGACCGGCCGAGCGGCGGGCGGGTACGGGGAGTATTTGAAACTGGTACTTACCAAGGCGAGGCGTTGCCTGAATTTTCCTCTGCGGGTTTCAGGAAGACTCTCTGTAGGTTATTGGACATTTTAGGGGGGTAAGAGGGGACAACTCATCCAGGAAAGTAGCGTGTGGAGCCGAGGTTCTCTAAGGGGCGAGAACCAGAGAGAGAGAACGTAAGGCTGGAGTTGCTGCGCAGCAACTCTGAGGAGTTCGATGCTTAAATCAGGGCGACTGCGGCTCTCGCGAGGGCGTATCCCAGACTTCGGAGGGAGGAGGCGCGGCCGCAGAAAAACCGGAAGACTCGGGCTTCTGACCGCAGCTCCCCCTCCCTAGGCTCCGAGAGACTCGGCCCAAGTCTCCGCCCCCTATAGCTACGACATAGCTCCAGAGCGGCGTGGGGGGCGTGGCATCGATGGTGCCGCCCGGAGCAGGGCTGGATTAGGGACGAAGAACGCCAGCCTAGCTCTGCTGACTCCTCCCACCAAAGCCACTAAAGCAAGCGTAGCTCGGCCCCTGCTTCCGTGGTCGTAATGTCCGGTTGCTAAGCTGAATGGCTCACTAACGCCCCGCCCTTATGAAACAATCCAATTGAAAGCGACGTTTGCTATCTTTTCTTCCGGATCAAGGAACAAATCGCAAAAGAAAAATCTCCGAACACCTACACAAAATAAAATGTTTCCGGGGTCAATCATAAATTTTCTGTCTTTGTACTCGCTGGTAGTGTGAGTGTTCCTCCCTCGCTAGCGTTTTAAAAGACATCAGCAGGCTTTTTTGGAGTTGTCATGCACTCGTGACCTGAAGAAATTTTAGAAGCCAGCCTGTGGACAGCGATGCATTGTTACTACTATTCTCAAGGTTTCTCGTTTTCCCCCTCTTTTCTGAAGCTTTAGCTTCCATAATTATCCCTTTCCCCCATCTCATTTCCATGTCTCAGTCAAAACTGTCACTTATTTTCATATAGTTAATTAGTTTATTCTCCAAAAGTTTTGTCACTTATATAAACTTATTTTGTAAGGTATCTTTATTTGGATCCCCAGAGAAAAGCTTTTGAAAAGTCTCTTGATTCCTGCAGTTAAGACAGTATCTGAGAAAAGAGTTCAGTCTCTGATTACACAGTATAAATTCTAGTTCAGCTGCAGCTAGAAGGAGAGTGTGGGAGGAGTGGTTCGGAAGGTCCAGTTTTATCTGGAGTAAGCAGAACTGAGGGAAGTAAAACTCAACAGAAATCAAGAGGAGTAGGGGAGGGAAAGGAAAGGGTGGGTAAAATAAACATTGTGAGTGATATGCACACTTCTAACCATGACTCTAGCATTTTTATTAGTACTATTAGTATTAGTATTAGTATTTTGGAGGCAGAGTCTCACTATGCCACCCTCGGTAGAGTGTTATGGTGACACAGCTCACAGCAACCTCAAACTCTTGGGCTTAAGCGATTCTCTTGCCTCAGCCTCCCAAGTAGCTGGGACTACAGGCACTTGACCCAACGCCCACTATTTTGTTGTTGTTGTTCAGGTTGTCGTTGTTTAGCTGGCTCAGGCTGGTCTCGAACCTGCCAGCCTCCATGCATGTGGCCAGTGCCCTACTCACTGAGCTATGGGTGTTGAGCCAACTCTAGCTTAGTAAAGAGATTTATTTAACCAATAATATTTGTACTTTTGTAATACTTTGAAATTAAAAAAAATCAGATTGGCATCAGACATGTTAGCAGAACATTTGATGCAAAAATACAATGGAATTTTGAACTGTTAAGAGATAATTGGAAGAGGTAAAATTATGACTTATGCAAAATTATTATTAATATTTTGAGACAGAGTCTCACTTGCCCCCCCCACCCCACCTAGAGTGTCATGGCAGCACAGCTCACAGAAACCTCAAACTCTTGGGCTTAAGTGATACTCTTGTCTCAGCCTCTCAAGTAGTTGCAACTACAGGTGCCCATCACAATGCCAGCTATTTTCAGAGACAGGGTCCCTGGCTCAGGCTGGTCTCAAATTCCTGAGCTCAGGCAATCCACCTGCCTGGGCCTCCCAGAGTGCTAGGATTACAAGCATAAGACCCCTTGCCCAGCTGACTCATGCAAAGTTAAAGAACACATTAACTCATTAATGATGGAATTATTAAGATATTAAAACAGGCTCAAAGAGAATCCCAAGAACACACTCTATTTAGGCAATGAGAAATACTGGAGTGGATTTAATAATAGATGTTAAATTGGACAGTATGTAGAAGACAATAAAACAAAATGTAGTATTTAGAATCTTCCACAGACCACTAGAGAGGGATATGGAATCACTTGCATCTCAACCATGCAAATTCATCTCCATCTCTATAAAAAGGAATTGTTTGCATCATCAGTTCTCCACAAGTTAATTTCTTTTCTTTTCTTTTCTTTCTTTCTTTCTTTCGAGACAGCCTCAAGCTGTTGCGCTGGGTAGAGTGCTGTGACATCACAGCTCACAGCAACCTCCAACTCCTGAGCTTAAGTGATTCTCTTGCTTCACCCTTCCAAGTAGCTAGCACTACAGGTGCCAGCCACAACACCAGGCTATTTTTTGATTGTAATTGTCATTGTTGTCTGGCAGGCCTGGGCTGGATTTGAACTCGCCGGCTTTGGTGTATGTGGCTGGCATTTTAGCCAGTTGAACTACAGGCACTGAGTCCACAAGTTAATTTCTTTCTTTCTTTCTTTCTTTTCTTTTCTTTTCTTTTTTTTTGCAGTTTTTGGCCAGGGCTGGGTTTGAACCTGCCACCTCTGGCACATGGGGCCAGCACCCTACTCCTTTGTTCTGCAGGCACCACCCCACAAGTTAATTTCTATCACTAAAGTGTTAAAAAATTCATCAATGATAATGAAAAGTAAAGAACCCTATTGAATCTGATAACCACAGTCTTCTACATCATGTACAAGATTACAGTGAAAGAATATTAGTCCTATTTTTTTTTTCTGACACAGAGTTTCACTCTGTGCCTTGAGTAGAGTGCCATGGCATCATAGCAACCCCAGACTCTTGGGCTGAAGCAATTCTCTTGCCTCAGCCTTCAGAGTAGCTGGGACTACAGACCCTGGCTACTATGCCCATATAGGTTTTTCTTTTCTTTTCTTTTTCTTTCTTATCTTTCTTTCTTACTTTCTTTTCTTTCTTCTTCTTCTTCTTCTTCTTTTTTTTTTTTTTTTTGCCAGAGTCTCACTATGTTGCCCTGGCTAGAGTGCCAAGGCATCCCTGCTCACAGCAACCTCCAACTCTTGGGCTTAAGCAATTCTCTTGCCTCTGCCTCCTGGGTAGCTGGGACTACAGGTGATTGCCACATGCCCAGCTGCTTTTTTGTTGCAGTTGTTTAGTTGGCCCAGGCCAGGTTCAAACCTGCCACCCTTGGTGTATGTGGCTGGCACCATAACCACTGTGCCGAGCCCTGTCTAGGTTTTTCTATTTTTAGTAGAGATGGAGTCTTACTCTTGCTCATGCTGGTCTCAACTCCTGTGCTCAAGCAATCCACCCACCTAAGCCTTCCAGAGTGCTAGGATTACAGGTATTAACTTCTGTGCCTGGCCACCAGGCCTATTTTTTTACATTTCAAAATTTTCCACAAGAACCAGATAATTTATTTACAAGAAAATTGTCAGTTAATGTGACATACAAAACTTCATATCGGTTTTACTCTAAGACATATTTCTATTCAATACTAATATCATAAGAAAAGCATTTCCAGGATACATTAAAAAATAAGAAAAGTAAAACTAGTTTTTCTAGACTGCTTGTTTTGAAAACATTTTGTTCCCATGAAATTGAGGTGTTATAGAACAGTTATTTCATAAAAGATGCTTGTTCCTGAGCAGCAGACATAGACCCCCACACCAAGAGTGAAGATGTCTCTGCTCCCAGGAATGGAGGTTTGTGTCTTCCTGCTGGCTGTTGTCTTTGTCAGAATTTCCACAAAGTACCATGGCCCCAACAACCACCATTCCAACAACCACAGCCCCAACAAACACCATGAATACCACAGGAGAGACTCTTTGCAATTAATGAATATGCAAAAGCCACCTGATGAGGGCAGAGTTCCAATGAAGTCTTAGGCTCAAAAAAGCAAAGCCATAGATTTTTTTTTTTGAGTAGAAAGCTTTTTTAAAAAAATTTTTTATAATTATTTTTTATTAAATCATAACTTTGTACATTGATGCATTTATGGGGTTCAGGGTACTGCTTCGATATACAATGTGAAATGTTTACATCGAACAAAGTAACACAGCCATTTCTTAATAGTTTAGAAATGTACCATTGCATCATGCACATTAGGTGAGGTCCCCCCAAATACCCTCCCTTCTCCCATGTCCCCTCTCCCCATCACTGTCTCTCCTCTTCCCTTCTACTTTATGGACTATAGTTATGTTTTGCCATTTGTATGATTATGTAGGTGGTTATATATTGATTTCATAGTAGTATTGAGTACATTGGATACTTTTTTTCCCATTTGTGAGATACTTTACTAAGAAGAATATGTTCCAGCTCCATCCAAGTAAACATAAAAGATGTGAAGTCTCTGTCTTTTTTATGGCTGCATAGTATTCCATGGTGTACATATACCACAATTTGTTAATCCATTCATGGGTTGATGGGTACTTGGGTTGTTTCCATGTCTTGGCTATTTTGAATTGGGCTGCAATAAACATTCTGGTGCAAATGTCTTTGTTGTAAAGTAATTTTTGATTATCTGGGTATATAGCTAGTAGAGGAATTGCAGGATCAAATGGTATGTGTACTTTTAGTTCCTTGAGTGTTCTCCAAACTTCTTTCCAAAAAGGTCACCTTAGCTTGCATTCCCACCAGCACTGTAGAAGTGTTCCCTTCTCTCTGCATCTACGACAACATCTGTAGTTTTGGGATTTTGTAATGTGGGCTAATCTTACTGGAGTTAGATGATAACCACCATCAAAAGTGGTTTTGATGTGCATTTCTCTGATGAGTAAGGATGATGAGCATTTTCTTTATGTGTTTGTAGGCCATGTGCTTGTCTTCATCAGAGAAGTTTCTGTTCAAGTCTCTTGCCCACATAGAAATGGGGTTATTTATTCATTTCTTATTGATTAGTTTGAGTTCTCTGTAGATTCTAGTTATCAGATCTTTGTCAGAAGCATAAAGTACAAACATCTTCCATTCTGAAGGTTGTTTGCTTTACTTACTGTGCTCTTGGCTGTGCACAAACTTTTTAGTTTGATCA